AGAGCTGCGAGTGCGAGCGCGCCCCCCCAGATGTTGCGCCCAGTGCGGCCGGCCACCCCTGCACCCCCCACGCTACGCCACTGCTCACAGGCACCCACACCCCAGCAAAAAGTCTCCAAATAGTAGGTCTGCAAGGATGCTGCAATTTTATTTGTAAGGAAAACCTTCAGATCTTTTCAAAGCTATTAGTTCAATGTGTAATTCCATTTAACACATTCATTCATTCATTAAAAAAGAGGATCTGCAATAGTGCCCAAGCAGGATCAGCACCATGGGATTTGGTGAAGAGGGTTAACCGCTTCTCCATGCACTGTTGTTGGGGTTTTCTTTGGGGGGGGGTCCCCTGAAATCCAGGAGGAAGAACAGCTTGTGCATTTGGAGGGGGCAGATTTTCTAAGGATCCCTACATCGGAATAAGAATGTTAACTCTCCTCTCCATTGACTTGAAACTGATTTCCCTGATTCCATGGCAGCTACCTTAAATAAGAAGCTACACATCCATCGCAATTGTTTGTATGGGTTTATTTTTAATACTTGCTTTTAAATTGTGTTGATTCTATCTGTACTTTATTTTTAAAAATAAAAAGAAATACTTGACACTATTTTATGCAAACCGTTCAGCAATTTTTCCTTTGCAGTTGATGGACAACCAGTTTGCTCACCTCTGAGACCGCATGAGGGCATTATCCTATGTCAGACTGTGAATCTCTAGGCAGACTTTTGAGCCTTGGTGTCTCTCTCTTTACAACGGGGCTGGAGGGCCTTTTGCATTTGAGGGCGATATTCAAAGGGGTCAGGTTCTAGTGGGGGGTGGGACCAGAGGCAAAAGCAGGAGGTGAAATCTGAATACACTTCCAGCCATCCAGAAGTGGCTGGTTTCTACACACAAACACACCTCTCTCTATCATCCATTCCGGCAAGCAAGAGGTATCATCACAGCTCAAAAATGTTCCCGTCAGACAAAAGCACTTAAGGAAGGTGTGAAGCAGGGCTGGCACACCCACGAGGCAAGGTGAGGTGACCGCCTCAGGTGGCAGGATCCACAGGAGCAGCAAATCCAGGCTCCAAGGAATGCATCACCCACTGCGGCAGCACACTCCTTCGAAGCCAAATCTTTTATCTTCTCAGGACACTCCCCGCCATCCTGCCTCTACAGTGGCCTCTTGGTGAATAGGAAGCGTGGCTGGTCTCCTCCCACCCTTGCTCCCAATGTAGACCTTTATTGCCCCCTTTCTCCTGATGTAGACCTTCACTCACCCCTTACTCCCTGGCCAGGGGGACGCCATTTTGTGGTTTGTCTCAGGGGCCAAATGTCTTGGGCCAGCCCTGGTGTGGAACAAGGTGAGGGGTGTGGCCTAAGGAGAGGGGGAATGACTGGAAAGAGTGGCCTGGTGGGCCACATTTGGCCTCCAGGCCTGAGGCTCCCCACCCCTGCTTTAGAAGCTGACATAAAGGTCTTCACCTGCAGACGAGGGTGGGCATAAAACTCATTGAGGAAGTCCATGAGCAGGTCAATCTTGAGGGAGCTGACACAGAGGACCACGTGCTTCTCTGTCTGGGCTCGGTGGCGACTGTAGTTTCCTCCTGACTTCTGACGCTCCATCCACAGGTACACAAGTTCCTCAAACTGCAGGGGGGGAAATGAAGCAGGTCATCCAGTAGCATAGTGGGCTTCCAAAGTCTGATCCTCCTATGTCAACTCTGTTTCAGACAGCCCCAGGCTCATTTGAGGGGCATTAATTAAATGGGTGGGGTGAACAATTGAGAGATAGAGCTACTAGAGCTATCAGCAAAAATGTCACTTTCCAACTGAGAACATTGTGATTTGCAATCACTAGCAGTGGGACTACTCAGCCACTCAAGGGTACGCTATATGTCAAGGCAAACTTTTTTTTAGAGAGAGAAAGTTTTAAGAGGTTGTGATTTTGATTGGAAAAGTGGTAGGAGAGTATGCTTTACCTTTAACCCTCCCTCCAGTTTTACTGCTTGAATCAGCACTGTGTGGAGAAAACCATGTGGAAAGAAAGAAAGAAAGAGGTGGTGGCTGGTGCCCATTAGAACTGGTAGAGTAGAAGGCAAGGAAACCAGCAGCTTGTGGTGCCAGAGCCAATGACAGGAAGAACTACCCCGGTTGTAAGTAAAAAGGCAGGCATACAGGGGCTGGCTGAAAACTGAATGAGATTGTTGAGTCAGTGCCCCATTCACCCTAATGGATCAGCCTTCACTAGTGGTTCCAGTGTGCTTATTGGTGGGAAAGAAGCAGAGTAAGCACCTCAGAAGAGCCCTGCTGGTCCCCTTCTTCATCAACCTGTACTCACGGTGGCCAAATACATGCTTACAGGAAGCCCACAAGCAGGCCCTGAGGGCAGAAGCAATTCTCCCCACTTGTGAATTCACAGCACCGGTATTCTGAGGCATACTGTATCTGGCAGCGGAGGTAGAACATGGCCCTCGTGGCTTGTAAACACTGATAGCCTTCCCCGTGAATTTACCTAGTCCTCTTTTAAAGCCACGGGAAGTTGGTGGCCATTACTACATCTTGTGGAATACCTCTGGTAGTGGATGCTGGAGGGGAGGCAGAAGCAGTAGCCCCCTCCCACACAAAGCCACCACCACCTTTCATGCTGAATTCCCTGGAAAGTGGCAACCGTCTCTTCTTTTGCTTTTGAAATCAGTCTTCTGGGAATCGCCTGCCTAGACAGCTCAAGCTGTAAACAATAAAGGCCAGCAAGCTACTGAGGAAAGTGATGGCCTCTCTTTTTTCCTCCCTGGCTCAAGATATCAGCTAGTCACAGCTCAACGAGTCTGTGACAGTTTCACAGCTGAGTGAAAACTCTGGAAGTCCTCCAGCACAGTGACTGCGGAGCAAGCTTGTCTGCCTCAAAAGGTCAACTTGGCAGCCAGCTGGTGGGCAGCCAAGGGCAACATCCCCTGGTAGACCCGTCAGCTCATAAGCCATAACAGGGAACTACGTCAACAGGTCCAGAGACTTGCACACTTCAACTGGAATATGCTGTAGCTAGGGATATCAAAGAATTCTGACAAAAATAGAAGTGGGAGCAGAAATTGCCAGTGTTCCCTTATTTGTTTCATGCCTGGAATGAAAATCAGTCTACTAACCACTGTTGTTTTTGCTTTCAGTTCACAAATGATACATGACTGATTACACACACCGTTTATGTTTACTTCGCAATGAAAATGGAAAATGCAATGGAAAAATTACATTGGAAAAACGTAACAACATAGTTTTTAACAGAAGACAAACTGCAGCAGAAAGAAACAGTACTGCATGCAATGAATATAGGGCAGACGGAAGCCGATGCCTTCCTTCATCCCTAGCTGTGACTTCTCTCTATTGAGAGTTCCAGATAATTGTGTCCTAGACCTGTAAGTTCCCCAAGAAATGTTAGGGGTGATCATGACTGTACAACAGCGGAGTTTGCTAACTTGAGGCAAAACATCTTGACATATAGAACATGTTGTTGTTGTTTTAAGGAGCTCAGGTTAAAAAGTATTTGCATGAGGCTTGAAAAACTCAGTGCTTATAACTTACTAGCCTCATGGAACCTGAGCTGTTGAGTCAAAGCTGGACTCCTTAACAAGCCTTTGCAATGCCCTTTGCAACTCAGCTCTGGTCCATCACAAGGTGAGCTGTGTGGTTCAACTCCTGAACTGCTTTGATTCTGCAGGCACATCTTGCTCATGACTTATCTGATAGAACGACAGGAATCACACCTTACCTGCAATGGCAATACAACCAGGGCCACACAAATCATGATAACCACAAGCAGCTGCGAGGGCCAGATCTTGGGTGTGACATCACCATAGCCCACCGTGGAGAAGGTGACAATGCAGAAGTAAAAGGACTTGAAGAGGGAGAGGTTTTCACCGGCTCTTTCTAAGTGCTGGATGCCGCAGGTTCTGGATGAAATGAAGGAAAGAACCAAAAGAACTGATTCCACACACAGGACCAGGATTCTCTCCCCAAACTGAGGATAATTTCAACCTTCTTCAATTTCAAAGGCACAATATGCATTCCATAACTGGGAACTGGTTAAGAATTGCATTCTCAGTTGTGTCATCACATCAGGCCTCAGCAGAAAGGCTGACCATGTTTTGAAGTAAACAAGTTAATCCTAGGGCTATGCGCCAGCTCTGGCTGAATCCTGAATACCAAACTGAATCAGTCCAATTTGAGTCAACCCACAATCAGGTCAGGGAGCCTCAGATCAACCTAGGTTGGATAGAAGAATTTTGGACGCATTCCTTGCTGGGGATTCTGTTTCACAAAGAGGCTTCTATTAGCATGATTTACACGGCAACTCCAGTTTTAAAAACAAATATTTGCCAAGTGAGATCTTACCCAGTGAAAACAAGACACAGCAGAGTGCAGATCAAAATGAGCACCTGATTGAACATAGCCGACTGGGTTCTTTGTATCGCTCTGTGTAGGTCATTCTGGGGAAAAACACATAACCTTCATATTTACCAAAACAAGATAACAAAGCCTGCTCCAGATTATGGCAACTGGTGAACATTCCTTCATTAGATGTTTCTCAGCAGAGGCTGGATGGTGGCCTACAGTGGTGCCTCGCAAGACGAAATTAATCCGTTCCGCGAGTGTCTTCGTCTAGCGGTTTCTTCGTCTTGCGAAGCAACCCTATTAGCGGCTTAACGGATTAGCGCTATTAGCGGTTTAGCGGCTATTAAAGGCTTAAAGGCTTAGCGGATTAGCTGCTAAAAGGCTATTAAAGGCTTAGCGGCTTAGATAAAGGGGGGGGAGCGAAAAAAAAATCTCAAGACTCGCAAGACATTTTCGTCTTGCGAAGCAAGCCCATAGGGAAATTCGTCCTGCGAAGCAACTCAAAAACGGAAAACCCTTTCGTCTAGCGGGTTTTCCGTCTTGCGAGGCATTCGTCTTGCGGGGCACCACTGTATCAGGAATTCCGCAGCAACAGTCTCTAAGCATTGTCAGTGGGTTTGGACTAGATTATGGGAAGAGCTGTAGCTCAGAGGTAGAGCATCTGCTTTGAATGCAGAAGCTCACAGGTTCAATCCCCAGTTAGGGTTGGGAGAGACCCCTGCCTGAAACTCTGGAAAACTGAGTATCCACGTTGCCAACTAATTATCAGTTTCATGCCCCATTAGAGCTCCCAGCTTCCCACAAAAGAATCCTGGGAGCTTGGTGGGGATGCTGAAATCTTTTCTAAGTCCTGGCTGCCCTCACAGAACTACAATTCTCAAGGCTCCCAGGGAGGGGTGGGAACAACTATTAAATCAATTTAACAGTTATTTGTAGAAAAGACAAAGAAGTGCTATTTACTATTTGCTTAATGAGGATGTGGGAGAGGGCCTTTCCAGAAGCTGGATTGACTTCCTCTTTGTTGTCCTTTTACCAGCAGGTGAAGACTTTCCTTTTCTAACAGGCTTTTGGGAACTGACTGCTTTTAATGAAAGAACTGGGGTCATGTTTCTTTACTGTAGCTATCTGTATGGCTTTAACGGAGACTATCTATCATCTCTATCTATCTCTATCTATCTATCATCTATCTATCTATCTATCTATCTATCATCTATCTATCTATCTATCTATCATCTATCTATCTATCATCTATCTATATCATCTATCATCTATCTATCTATCTATCTATCTATCATCTATCTATCATCTATCTATCATCTATCTATCTCTCTATCTATCTGAAGAAGTGTGCATGCACACGAAAGCTCATACCAATAGCAAACTTAGTTGGTCTCTAAGGTGCTACTGGAATGATTTTTTTTTTATTTTGTTTAAACAACGGCAGACCAACACGGCTACCTACCTGTATCTATCTATCTATCTATCTATCTATCTATCTATCTATCTATCTATCTATCATCTATCATCATCTATCATCTATCTATATCATCTATCTACCTATCTATCATCTATCTATCATCTATCTATCTATCTATCTATCATCTATCTATCATCTATCTATCTGTCGTTTAATTGTTTTTAATTATTGTTTTTTCTATGTTTTAAGTGGTTGTTATTTTTATCTGTAAGCTGCCTTGAGTCCCGTAAAGGAAAAGGTTGGGTATAAATTAATAAATAATGGTCTGACACGCTACCCACTAAACTAGTCACTGGGAAAGGTGGGGCACTGATTCTCCCTATCGACCAGAAATCTTATTCAGCAACTCCTCCTCCCTGTGGCCATCACCCAAAGACTTTCAAATGCATCTTTGGAACTATCTTTGGAAACCTGTATTTAAAACTACACTCAAGACCACACTGTGCTACTTGCAAGGAAACATGACATACAGACACACAACGTAGGTTTGGAAAGGGACTGTGCGGCTGCTCTGCTGTTAGGCAGGAACTACACACGGCCTTTCCCAGATCAATCGCGACAACCCAATGCGCAGACAGAAACACAGAACAGATGGAGAATGTTAAAACAATTCTATCTGTTACAAACAAAAATTCTCTGGTCACTTACAATCATGTTTTCCAAGGCATGTTTTGCCAGCCAGCAGTTCAGAAAAACCGGGATAAATAAATTCCGCAGCGGCGGCCAAAATATCTAGGCAGAAACATACAAACAAACAGCTGTTAACTGCATGTCTGTTGAATTGTAGGCATTTATGCATGGGTACATTTCTGTGCATAGGCAGATGGATAAAGATATACTAGGGGATCTGCACCCCTGCTTGTTAATCTCACCAACCCTGTCTATCCCTTGGTCAACCACCCTTCCCCACACCTGACCATCCCCTCACTTCATCTATCCCCTGCCCTATTCCATCACAGCTTGCCCTAGGCTCTCCCACTCCCCACAGTTCTGCCCAGAGCTCGACTCTGCAAAATCAAAAGAAAGAGAGGGCAAATGTTCTCCTGAGCCAGTGCAGAATGCTTTCCCTCTTCACCACTGGGTAGCTACCAGAAAGTCCTGATATATTCACAGAATCATAGAGCTGGAAGGGACCACAAGGATATTCTAATCTAACCCCTGCAATGCTGGAATCTCTTGCCCCATGTGGGACTTGAACCCACAGTCTTAAGATTAGGAGTCTCATGCTCTGCTGACTGAGTTTAGATGGAGCAGCTTCCATACAGACTTGCATTTCACTGTCTATATTTTCTAGAAATCAAGCTATCCTTTTACCCTTAATCATGCAGACAAGTGTATGATTTTCACTGACAATGAGGATCTGATTGCAACCAACGTTGGTGACTGCAAAATACAAAATACAGGCTATATAATACAGTCGAAATGGTGGCTGTATAATGATTAGGTCGCAATTAGATCCTCCTTGTCAACAATAGTAATAACGCATAATTAATGCTTAATCCTTCTCCCTCCCGCTGATTTCCCCACCCATATATATCTTTTGGGACGTGGGTGGCGCTGTGGGTTAAACCACAGAGCCTAGGACTTGCCGATCAGAAGGTCGGTGGTTCGAATCCCCACGACTGGGTGAGCTCCCGTTGTTTGGTCCCTGCTCCTGCCAACCTAGCAGTTCGAAAGCACATCAAAGTGCAAGTAGATAAATAGGTACCGCTCCGGCGGGAAGGTAAACGGCGTTTCCGTGCGCTGCTCTGGTTCGCCAGAAGCGGCTTAGTCATGCTGGCCACATGACACGGAAGCTGTGCGCCGGCTCCCTCAGCCAATAAAGCGAGATGAGCACCACAACCCCAGAGTCGGTCACGACTGGACCTAATGGTCAGGGGTCCCTTTACCTTTACTATGTATCTTTTAGTTCAATGCCATCCCACTAGAGAGCGTGCACACGAAAGGAGCTTCAAGATTTTGACTGCCTAGAAGGCCTCTGTAGGGTGTGTGTGTGTGCGTGTGTGTGTGTGTGAGAGAGAGAGAGAGAGAGAGAGAAAGAGAGAGAGAGAGAGAGAGAGATCACCAATGATAGGAAGAGCTGTCCTTGATTGGTCATCAGTGAGAAGGCAGGGATATGGGAGCTGACTGAGGAAAGGCTGAGGTTGGTGGAGTGCTGTTCCTTTCACCCAAATGGAAGAGCCCCCATTAGGGAAAGAGAGTGTGCATGTGGCAGTGGCTGGGGAAAGATTGAAGCAACTCCCCACCACCTGCTGTTTCTCCATTCAAATCCACAACCCCCTGAACCTGCTTTTCTCAGCACAAGCCTCCAATGGAGATATATTTGCATGTGGATATTCATCTTACCCTTTGAACTGGACCCTAAAAGTTAAGGTTATATTACATTGCTATTTCATCTGAGGATTGTTTCCTCTAAGGGGTTCAGCTTGGCATATTCAACTCCTCACAGTTTTATCTCACAACAACCCTGTGAGGTAGGCTAGGCTGGGAAATAGCCTAGTGAGCTTCATGGCTATGTGGATATTTCAGCCAGGCCTCCCTGGCCCCAGTCCAGTACTCCATATAAGCTTAAGCTCTGTCTCATCAGGTTTCAGTGACAAAGAATGGACCTCTTCATGTGTTATTATGGCAGATGATTCCAAGCCTTGTCCTATAATCCTGCTGTAATCTTTGGAAGCCCAGCACCAAATTGCAGTAGGGTGGGCTATTCATTAGCAGCTGTGCTCTTGCAAAGCTCATGTATCTTTTGAGTGAGCTGTTGCTAACGAACCCTACCAGCAGCTGTTTCCTTGCAAAAATCCTTTTTTAAAAATCTGAATGGCAGTGACAACTGTTCTTCCTCTCTCTCTCTTTTTGAATGAACAGGAGAACCTCTCAGCAACCATTTGTTTTAGCAATGTCCACCTAACACACACTTACGGTAATAATGAAGGGCACGGTGTTGATCATTTCAAGGATGAAGGTTACACGAAAGATCTGCTCACAAATGTTTCCCTAAAAAGAAAAAGAGATTCATATTTGTTATCCCTGCATGCATGCACAACAGGCGTGCCACCTATGTGGGGCCGTGGGGGCTGAGCTCCTCCTCAGTATTTTCACTGAGGGGGGTGTGCCCCCTCAATATTCCACAGCTGGCTGGGCCCTGCCAGGCCCTCCCATGGCTGCAACTAGGCCCCACCAGGCCCAGTTGGACTTCCTCCCACCGTATGACATCACACATGTGTGCCGGGCCCTTGCAATGTTGGTCGGAACGCAGTGCACCTGATGCACGATCAGTTTAGCCAACCTACCCTCAAGGCCATAATCTTACCTTGTAGCTGAGATAAATCAGAAGCATCGTCTCGAGGAAGCTAATGATCGCTACGCTGACCTGGAAGTGGTGGTAAGGGGAAAGCAGAGGGATTTTTAGCGCCGCTGTCCAACATGAATGGAGAATTCTGCAATAGTCTAACCCAGGAATGTCTGACTTGAAGGCGACTGCCTTCCTCCGTAGGGTGCTTATAAAGATATATACAAATCAGGGTCTCACTGTCAGAGGTGTTTCCCCTGGACCTTTGTAATTTCTTTTGATAGACATGTCAGCCAGCAAATTAATCACCGGTCCTGGGGACACCTGTCAGACACCTGTAACTGACAAGATATACTGAGCCATGAATCCAACTCTGATTCAGTTATCTGTCCTCTCCCTACCGCAGGTGGGTTGTAATATTTTTATTTTTTTAAGTGACGCTATTGTACATTTATTCAATTACATGGATGTGTGTATGTGTCTCTCTGTGTGTTTAAAAAGTAGAATAAGCTTGTACTGTGTTGAAAAATTGTTCTGGAAAGGAGAAGGGGGTTAATGATAGCACTGGTCCGGGACAGTCAGTGCTGTGCATAACAAGTAGAGTGATGTAAATAAGTAGAGTAAATTTCCTTCAGTTTTATCTTGTGGAGAAGAAGATTATGTTTAAATTAGCAAAACATGGGGATTGTACTTCACCTGTAAAATTATATATGTCTGGATGAAACAAATTTGGTGCCAAATGGCCCTATCCAATTTTAATCAAGAATATATAAAACTATGTTTCAAACCCTTAACCACTGCATTCATTTGTTTATTTTAACAATTTTCTTCTTCACTTACCTGTATTGCCCATAATGGCTTGTTTCGGTCTACCCATATAACTGGAGTCCTGTACAGAATATGTAATAACAAAGACAAAAAATCTTGTTGGAGGATTTGATTTGAAAGCAATGGGCTCATGTTGATTGTAGCCAACTTGTCCTCCTATTGAGCTGTTTCAGACTTTGAACACAAAATGTATACATTTTGAAACAGCACTTCTGAATTTTAAATATGACATTTTATCTCAGGATTCAAGATCTGGGAGTTTTAGGCTTGCTGGCATTTCTCCTCTCTTTTGATTTTGACAGGCGCAAAACATGAACTAACAATACAGTGTCATGGATCAAATCTCATCTAGGCTAGGAGGTAAGATAATAAATTTGCATACTGTCTGTAAAATTCTATGCAGGGCAAAATACCACCACATATAAGCAATAAAATACTAAGGGCTGTTCCGTGTGAATAACACAACTGAATCAAATATTAAATCCCATTACATGTGGAATATAAAATACTTCCCAATACAAAATACTGCTGTATTATCAAATAATAAATATTGTTGTATTTACTATTTAATCTGTTCAGTAAAATATTAAATACATCTCAAGCCAACTATCACATACTGTCTAACACTATGCACCTTTGCATGTCATGTAAAACCCAAACACAATTTCATGCTAGCTATCCAGTAAAGACAAACATAAAATGTTATTGTGTATCAACTACCAAGTACAGTGATACCTCGGGTTGAATGTGCTTCGGGATGAGCTCGTTCGAGTTGCGCTCCGCGGCAACCCGGAAGTAACGGAGCGCGTTACTTCCGGGTTTCGCCGCTTGCGCATGCGCAGATGCTCAAAATGATGTCACGCGCATGCGCAGAAGCACCGAAATGTGACCCGTGCACGCACAGACGCGTGGGCACAGGTTACGTTTGCTTCTAGATGTGAACGGAATGGATCCCGTCTGCCATTTTGATTCAAGATGGCAGACAGAACATTTCAAAACTGCACTACTTTAAGTACCGGTCTCTAAACCACATGGATTTTTCAGTTTCTCAGAATTCCAAAGTACACAAGATGGAGAGCAAAGATCTTCAGTGTCAAATATCAATACCACAGAGAGAGAGAGAGAGAGAGAGAGAGAGAGAGAGAGAGAGAGAGAGAGCTTATTTCGTTTCAAAAGTAGCAGTGAAAACTTCTGGGGACAGAGGTCAAGTTAGTTCAATTCTTCCTTACACTCAGTTTCACTCAGCTCTGGGAGGCGACGTTCTTCTCTTACCTGAATCATTTCCACAAATGTGCTGTCTGGTCTAGCAGTTTAGTTAAGCAGATTACTAACTGCATTCCTCCATGGGGGATGAACAATTTCCAACGCCCCTCTTCGCTTGCTATGCATCCTAATATCTCACTTACTGGAATTTGCATATTCTTCCTTTTAAGCTCCAACCTGGGAACACAGAGCACTTAACAGCAGCCAAAGGTACCGTATTTTTTGCTCTATAAGACTCACTTTTTCCTTCCTAAAAAGTAAGGGGAAATGTGTGTGCATCTTATGGAGCGAATGCAGGCTGCGCAGCTATCCCAGAAGCCAGAACAGCAAGAGGGATTGCTGCTTTCACTGCGCAGCAATCCCTCTTGCTGTACAGGCTTCTGAGATTCAGAATATTTTTTTTCTTGTTTTCTTCCTCCAAAAACTAGGTGCGTCTTGTGGTCTAGTGCGTCTTATAGAGCGAAAAATACGGTATATCTTTCCCTGATCTTCAGGCTTTGAATAGGTTGCTGCTTAAAAGGCCCTCCCTCAGAAAATCCCCTTTCCTTGGGATCATCAAGCAGCATGGAGCAGCATGGAGTGAACAATAGGGGGTGAGTCCTCCCCACACTGTGAAGTGGGATCTGAGGGCCTCCAGGCTCACCTAGGACGAGGAGCTGCACTGCATAGGTAACCAAGTCAGCCTGGCAACTGCCTGCAACAATTACTTCCAGGCTTCAGCTTCTGTCTTGGGGAAGAGATCCACTGCCCCAAAACCTGGACAGAGACTGCCAGCTGGTGTAGGCAACATTGAGCTAGTTTGACCAATGGTCAGATTCGGTAAAAGGCAGCCTCCCATGTCCTTTCTATGCAGCTGCATAGAGGCTCTGTCT